CATTAAGATTACAAATACTTTAAGATAAGTAATGAATTTACAGTGACTGTATTGTACTTTGTGTGTTTTTAATGCCTAGTTCTATTACTAACTTAATATAATTTAGTGTAAACTTGTTGTCTGGCATTTATATGCATTTATAAATGGAAAAAAATGGAGTTCTGCCTTCCGGCGATGTCTGCTTTCCGGCGACAGCCTGGAACCTAACCCGCCGTATAAGTGGGGCCCTACTGTACATGTACAAGAATATATATATACACACCCCTCTGGGTTTTCTTCTATTTTCTTTCTAGTTCTTGTTCTTGTTTCTTCCTCTTATCTCCATGGGGAAGTGGAACAGAATTCTTCCTCAGTAAGCCATGCGTGTTGTAAGAGGCGACTAAAATTCTGGGAGCAAAGGGCTAGTAACCCCTTTTCCTGTATAAATTACTAAATTTAAAAACAGAAACTTTCGTTTTTCTTTTTGGGCCACCCTGCCTCGGTGGGATGCGGCCAGTTTGTTGAAAGAAGAAATTTCAAGCTGTGAACACAATACCAAAAGATTAAAGGGTTGCATTTCCTTAAATGCGACTCATATACCATTTAATGCTGGGGTGGAATGTAAACTGCTGAAATGTTAAATCTGAGTAAAAAAAAAAAAAAAAAAAAAAAGGGGGGCAATAGTGAATTTATAACCTCACATACAGGTTAAAAATTATTTCAAAACAGATACTGGAGAGAAAATCCACACCACAACAGGCAAGATTAGAGCTGCAGTCCACTAACCTCACAGTGACACTGTTGGAAATGCACTAAACTAAACTGTACATTATTTATATGAACCAGTTTCCTAATTTCTTACCTTTAGCAAGGTGAATTATTGTATTGAAACTTTGAATGAGAACTGCCTCTATTACTGTATAAAGCAAAACAAAATACAGTGGACCCTCCCTTTTCACTGGGCTCCGTTTTTGCGAGTTTCAGTTATCGCCGACTTTTTTCGTAAAAATATTGGCTCAGTTTTGGTTACTTTCCTACGTTCTCGGCGGTGGAAGGGTACCTGTTCGAGTGCCGTGCACACACAAAGCCTCCCACACACTCATTCTGAGGCAGTGTTGCTTTGTTTCTCGGTGAGTGAACATTATCCTGCAAGGTCATAGGAAACATTTTGTAATAATTCATTGTTTTTGGCACTTGTTTATTTTGTGTGACTGCTAAATAAGCCACCATGGGCCCAAAAAAAACTTCTAGTGCCCAGCCCATTGATACAGAAGGTGAGAAACACAACAGAATTCAAGAAAAAACTCATAGCAAAGTACCAAAGTAGAGGAGGAAGGGAGGGGAGAATGTGCATTCTTCAGTGATTCTATGATATGTACGATACTAAAGCAGCAGGAGTCGATAAAGGCTATAGCACCAGCCAGCGATAAAGTGTAGTATTAACAGTGTAGCAAGTAAGTTAAGCAATTAAGCGATAGAAAAAGGGTGAAACGTAACTAACTCCTCCAATGTTATTGGAGGTATATAGAGCTACTGACAAATATATATGCCGCCCTACCTATCTTCCACCACCCTAAACCAATGCCAGCATCTCCAAGGTACAGTAAGTGTAATTTTTTTTTTTCAACAAACCGGCCATATCCCACCAAGACAAGGTGGCCTAAAAAAGAAAAACGAAAGTTTCTCTTTTTAAATTTAGTAGTTTATACAGGAGAAGGGGTTACTAGGACCTTGCTCCCGGCATTTTAGTTGCCTCTTACAACACGCATGGCTTACGGAGGAGGAATTCTGTTCCACTTCCCCACGGAGATCAGAGGAAATAAACAAGAACAAGAACTACAAAGAAAATATAGAAGAAAACCCAGAGGGGTGTGCATATATATGCTTATACATGTATGTGTAGTGTGACCTAAGGGTAAGTAGAAGTAGCAAGACGTACCTGAAATCTTGCATGTTTAAGAGACAGAAAAAAGACACAAGCAATCCTACCATTATGTAAAACAATTACAGGATTCTATTTTACACTCACTTGGCAGGACAGTAGTACCTCCCTAGGCGGTTGCTGTCTACTAACCTACTACCTATAAGTAAGTGTAAATCTTACTTATTTTTTTTTTTTTTTATTAACACACTGGCCGATTCCCACCAAGGCAGGGTGGCCCGAAAAAGAAAAACTTTCACCATCATTCACTCCATCACTGTCTTGCCAGAAGGGTGCTTTACACTACAGTTTTTAAACTGCAACATTAACACCCCTCCTTCAGAGTGCAGGCACTGTACTTCCCACCTCCAGGACTCAAGTCCGGCCTGCTGGTTTCCCTGAATCCCTTCATAAATGTTACTTTGCTCACACTCCAACAGCATGTCAAGTATTAAAAACCATTTGTCTTCATTCACTCCTATCAAACACGCTCATGCATGCCTGCTGGAAGTCCAAGCCCCTCGCACACAAAACCTCCTTTACCCCCTCCCTCCAACCTTTCCTAGGCCGACCCCTACCACGCCTTCCTTCCACTACAGGCTGATACACTCTTGAAGTCATTCTGTTTCGCTCCATTCTCTCTACATGTCCGAACCACCTCAACAACAATATTTCTTATTGATAAATTAAAGTGTAAATATTTCTCATTTATAAATTACGTACATTGTTTGTGTGAAGAGTGTTGGCGGCTTCTGCTGCTGCCTACATTACCACTAATATGTATAGCTTATGCTCTCAGTGGCTCTTATAAACCCAACACCACCACCACTTACTCCTCACATACGTAATGATATGTTTTATTCATTCAAGAGTATACAGTGGACCCCCGGTTAACGATATTTTTTCATTCCAGAAGCATGTTCAGGTGCCAGTACTGACCGAATTTTTTCCCATAAGGAATACAGTGGACCCCCGGTTAACGATTTTAATCCGTGCAAGAGGGGTAATTGTTATGCGAAATAATCGCTATGTGAATGAATTTTCCCCATAAGAAATAATGGAAATCAAATTAATCCGTGCAAGACACCCAAAAGTATGAAAAAAAAAATTTTACCACATGAAATATACATTTTCCCACACACAAAGAGAAGGATACATGCACAATAGTAGAGTAGTACATGCACAGTATATATTGTGCATGTACTAGTCTACTAAATGAAGAATAAATGACACTTACCTTTATTGAAGATGCAGCAATGACTGATGAGACACTGTGTCCTGGGAGTGCCTTTTCCTCCTGAGTACTGTAGGTCCTGTTTGGCATTTTCTTCCAGAACAGGCCTTATCACACTGTGTATGCCACTACGATTCTTAAATCTCTCAAACCAACCTTTGCTGGCTTTAAATTCACCAATATGAGCACTAGTTCCAGGCATTTTTCCCTGTTCACCTGGGTGTTAGTCGACTTGTGTGGGTTGCATCCTGGGAGACAAGATTAAGGACCCCCAATGGAAATAAGTTAGACAGTCTTCGATGACACTGACTTTTTTGGGTTATCCTGGGTGGCAAATCCTCTGGGGTTAATTGTTTCTTGGTATTCTCAATAAGCCACACCAACAACGGTGCTACAGCAGCAGCAGCAGCTGACAGTGCAGCAGCAGCAGCAGCTGTACCACCAATAGTAGCGATGGTTGATTGGGGTTTATTATACAACCTGGCCAGCTCGGAGACATGCACTCCACTTTCATACTTATCAATGATCTTTTTCTTCATCTCTATTGTAATTCTCACCCTTATTGCTGTAGGGTTGGCACTAGAAGCTTTCTTGGGGCCCATGGTCACTTATTTTCCAGAAAAAGCACCGAAAACACTGTAATAATACAAAATATTCCGATTGTATGCTTGGATGTTACCGCGGAGGCTGGCTGGTAAACAATGCCACCGGCGGAACATGTGAGCGTGGCTCAGGCCGCACATTGGACGCGTCTCGGACGAAAATCGGTAAGCGGGTTTTTAAGCGGTATGTGAGGCAAAATTTTTGCAATTAAAGTAAGCGGTATGCGAAATAATCGCTATGTGATGCCATCGTTATGCGGGGGTCCACTGTATTGTGAAGTACGTTAGTCCATTTCAGACCCCCAAACATACACGTACAAACGCACTTACATAAATACACTTACATAATTGGTCGCATTTGGAGGTGATCGTTAAGTGGGGGTCCACTGTACTATATCATGTTTTTTTTTTTTCAACAAGTCGGCCGTCTCCCACCTAAATATACATATAATATTTTCATTCATTATTCAGATAACCCAGGCATTGTAGCCACAAAAGGTGATACATATGTGATAAAAATTTAAAAGGGCTACTCAGAAAAAAACAAAAATATATCCATTTTAAGTGAAGACTGAACACAAATGAAGCAAAACTTTACCAAGGTAAAAGATTCACACCTCTGAGTGCATAAATAAGTACAGTATTGTGTAAATATACTGCCCATTTCTTCATACAGACAAAGTGTCTCAATGAATAAGACACGCACAACACCAGGTATCTTTGTTGAAGAAGTGTTTTGGTTGCACAGCAAGCATTATTAATCTCACACAGACACATGAGGTGAAAGAAGTGAAGTAATTAATCAGTTGTAGAGGTCACATTAACATGGATGGGATTTACTTCAAGGAAATGTAAATTTGATGTGCTTCAGCCCTCAGCCTTTTAATCAGGACTAAGGGACCTGAATTTACATCTTCACCACTGAATTTACATCTACATTAAGCAAGCAACATCCACACTGATGTGACCTTTACTACCGCTCCATCATTCTGCTTTTTTCACTCGATGCCTTCGAGTTTCATTAAATCTGCTGAAAGGCGAACCATTTCATGTCGTTTTGTTGGTATAGTACAGTATTACCTCTCTGCCATTGTGACCACAGCCAAGCTCAGACATAGTTAATATAAGCAGTGTAACACCCTAGGGCTCCTTGGAACCCAGTTTAACAAACCCTATACAGTAAATGATTAGGAATACAGTGTATAAAATATGAATCAACATTGTACTTTTTATACTTAAGCTAATTTCTTTAACCAAATCTTACACAAAGTTGCGTCTCTGGTAAAAGGCGATGGCACGGTGATTTGTAGTTAGCACATGCAAGAGCACAGCTTGCACACGAGGCGACTCATGAGCAGACAGCTGGGCTAAATAGTTGTCCAACAAGAGTGATGCTATTCCATGGCCACGATGAGCATCACTCACACCAAGTGTTAGGATATAGCCAATTTGTGTTTGACCAGTCAACGAGGGAGGTAAGATATCTTGGTCCTGTAAAAAGTAATACCAGTAATGTAAATGTATGGGAAAGACTATATTCAGACATACACAGCACAAAGGAACTTCCTACCCAAATTTTTAGTTTCACTGTAGGGCCTGTCTTCTCACCCACCCAATGCTTGACACATCCCTCCATTCACGTGTATGGGGTGAAGTGCAACCCTGGATATCGTAGTCGTTGGATTTCGTAATATTCAGAAATCGTAATTTTTTTTGTTAAAATATTGACTTGGTGATTGTCACTGAGCTCGGTAATAGTCAATTGTCCTGAACGCATCTGCACGGCAACAGCGGCCGGACACTCGGTATGCCATTGTTTATCAGCCAGTGAACACAATCCCATGCGTTCATACGATACATTTCATATTACGTATAAACATTTTCATCAATCCATCTATGATATTTTCTCAAAATTATATAATAAACATGCTATATAAGATATAAATATGATAAATACATCCCACAGTAGAATAAATTAACATAAATATGAAATGTAACGTGTATGAACCAAAACCAGACATGTTCGTCAGCTTGTTCACATAACACCGCGTCTCTCTCCTCTCTCATTTACTCATTCTCTCACTCTCGTATTCATTCGTTTTACCTCATTTACTCACCTCTCACCCTACATTAAGACTATAAATATTTTAAGGTAAGTAACGAATGTACTGTAGGTATATGCATTTTATCGTTCTGGAACGCTTTAAATGTCATAGTATACATTTGGGTGGGGTGGGGTGGCCGGCTGGCTACCATACCTACCACACCTAACTTTTTACAATAAATACTACTCACCTCTCACTCTACATTAAGACCACAAATATTTTATGAGTGTACTGTGTGTGTATTTTACTTTTTATTGTTTTCAGTGCCTAGTTCTATTGCTAACTTAATGCATGTTAGTGTAAACTTGTTATCTGGCATTGACGTACAATAGACCCCCGGTTTTCATAATTAATTCGTTATAGAGAGAGTGGCTAAACCCGAACCTGATGATTTCCAAATTAATTTTCCCCATAAGAAATACATAATGTAGATCCAATTAATCCGTTCCAGACACCCAAAAGTATTAAAAAATAAGTTTTTACATGAAATATACATTTACCTGCACAGAAAACAATAAGACATGCAGAATAAAACAATAATAAAATGACACTTACCTTTACTGAAGACTTGTTGATGAATGATGAGATGGGAGAGGAGAGGATGGAGGTGTACTAATGTTTGGAAGGAAAATCCCCCTCCATAATGACTTCAGGTACCAAGTCCTTTTCTGGGGTTACTTCCCTGGGGATTTCAAAGTGAAGTCTTTAGGCTTCACTTTGAAATCCCCAGTAGCATTACTACAGAACATGATAGTCAGCCTGTCTTTCATAGGCTTGGGTCCTAGTAGCTTCCTTGATTTCCTTTTTCTTGGCCATGATAGAAGCAATGGTTGTATGGGGTTTGTTATGCAGCTTGGCCAGCTCTGCGACACATACTCCACTTCCATATTTTGCAATGATGTCTTTCTTGAATTCTATAGTGTTTTTCACCCTCTTTACCAAAGGGCTGGCACTAGAAGCTTTCTTTGAGCCCATGCTGGCTTATTCAGTAGTTACATGCACTAAAAAGAGTGGAATAATACAAAATGTATCATATGAAAGCTTGGGATTGTCCTCACTGGCTGATAAACAATGGCACACCGGCTGTAAATGGTGTGTCAGGCTGCTCGGGCTATGCAGACATGTTCAGGACGAATGACAATTACTGAGTTCAATGATGATCATGGGGCCAATATTTTGACGAAAAAACGTTACTGATTCCGAATACAGTGGACCCTCAGTTAACAATTTTAATCCATTATCCAATTTAATTTTCCTCATAAGAAATAATGGAAATCCAATTAATCCATTCCAAATACCCAAAAGTATTTAAAAATATTTTTTTTCACATGAAATATACATTTTCCTACACAGAAATCAATGAGACATGAAGAATATATACATGAAAAATAAATGACACTTACCTTTATTGAAGATTTATTGATGAGTGATTGAGACGGGAGGAAAGGAGATTATGTAGGTGTATTATTGTTTGGAAGGGGAATCCCCTTCCATAAGGACTTTAGGTACCAAGTCCTTTTCCAGGGCTACTTCCCTTCTTTGTTTTTTAATGCCACTGGGAACAACTTGACAGTCTCTGGACCTCTGTCGCACCAAAAATCTGTCCATAGAGCTCTGAGTCTAGCGTTCCTTTAAGATTTCCCTTAAATGGGACACAACATTGTCATTGTAAAAGTCACCAGCACTGCTTGCAACAGCTGTATCAGGGTGATGTTCATCCATAAAGGCTTGCATCTTTGTCCACATTGTACAAATATCCTTAATCGTTGAAGAATGCAACTTCCTCCATCTCTATCTCCCCTACTTTGAAGCAATTTCCTCAGCTATGGTCTCTTGCTTTTGCAGATGCTCTTGCAGCTCATCAGTGGTTAGCTCTTCATCGTCGTCCTCCGCCAACTCTTCCACATCCTCACCACTAGCCTCCAACCCCATGGACTTCCCTAATGACACAATAGATTCCACAACTGGCAGAGGCTCCTCAGGGTTAGCCCCAAACCCTTCAAAATTCCTCTCTTGTATGCATTCTGGCCACAATTTTCTCCAAGCAGAGTTCAAAGTCCTGCAAGTCACTCCCTCCCAAGCCTTACCTATAAGGTTTATGAAACTGAGCATACTGAGGTGATCTTTCCAAAACCCTCTTAGGGTCAATTCAGTGTCTGAGGTCACTTCAAAGCACTTTTGAAACACTGCTTTGGTGTACAGTGTTTTGAAATTTGAAGTGACGTGCTGGTCCATGGGCTGGAGGAGAGGAGTGGTGTTAGGAGGCAAAAAGCTGACTTTTATGAAATTCAACTCCCCCACAATATGCTCTTGCAAGTCTGGAGGATGAGCAGGAGCATTGTCTAATACCAGGAGGCACTTGAGGTTCAATTTATTTTCCAGGAGGTATTTTTTCACAGTGAGACCAAACATGTGATAGAACCAATCATGGAAAATGTCCCTAGTGACCCATGCCTTACTGTTTGCCCTCTACATCACACACAAATTAGCCTTGATGACATTGTATTTCTTGAACACTCTGGGAGTTTCAGAGTGATACACGAGTAAAGGCTTCACTTTGCAATCCCCACTTGCATTACTACAAAACATGAGAGTTAACCTATCTTTCATAGGCTTGTGTCCTGGGAGTGCCTTTTCCTCCTGAGTAATGTAAATCCTGTTTGGCATTTTCTTCCAAAACAGGCCTGTTTCGTCACAATTGAACACTTGTTGGGGTTTTAATTTTTCAGTCTCTATGTACCCCTTAAGGTCCTGCACATATTTTTCAGCAGCCTATTTTATCAGAACTGGCAGCCTCACCATGCCTCATCACACTGTGTATGCCATTACAATTCTTAAATCTCTCAAACCAACCTTTACAGGCCTTAAATTCACTAACATCAGCACTAGTTCCAGGCATTTTCTTTATTAAATCATCATGCAACTGCCTTGCCTTTTCACATATGATTGACTGTGAAACACTATCTCCTGATAATTATTTGTCGTTGATCCACACCAATATCAGTCTCTCCACATCTTCGAGTATTTGCGATCTCCGTTTTGTAAGCATATTTGCACCTTTTGCAACAACAGCTTCCTTGATTCCCTTTCTGTTGGCCAAGATAGTAGCAATGGTTAACTGGGGTTTGTTATACAACCTGGCCAGCTTGAAGGCATGCACTCCACTTTCATGCTTTGCGATTATCTCTTTCTTCAATTCAATAGTATTTCTCACCCCTTTTTACCACAGGGTTAGCACTAGAAGCTTTCTTTGGGCCCATGGTGGCTTATTTAGCAGTTTCAAGCTTTAAAAACGCTGGAATAACAAAGTGTATCATATGTATGCGTGGAACCATCCGCCCTGGCTTGTAAACAATGGCACACTGGTTGTACATAGTGGCTGGGCGGCCGCACGGACACGTTCAGGACGAATGTCCTTAACCAAGTTTTTTTTATGTCGCTGTGGAAGCATGTCTCTCGTGTTTTGAATGCATTTTGTGCAGTTATTTTTCCAAATTTGTTTTTTCTAATCATGGGTCTTAAGAAAGTAAGTGCTGAGAAGAAAAAGAGGGTGATGTCCATGGAATTAAAGCATGAAATCATAGATAAACACAAACAAGGGGTGTGTGTGCAGGTTGTGGTTGTGGGCCACTGACAGCATATGTTGCTCTGCCTATCTTCCACCCTCCACCTCGCCAGCACTTCTTCTCCCCGGTAAATATGTATGTACACTTATAAAACCTGTATTTCTTTACATTCTCTATTATGTTTTATTGTGTTTTTATAAAATATTTTTTATTTATAAATAAACTGTTTCAGTATTTTTCTTATGAAACTAGTGATCTAGTGCAGTTAGCTTCACAAACACTCCGTTTTCAGAAGGGGAAGAATAGGAAGACATGGTCAGTACGGAAGTGGCAATGACCGTCACCACTCATTACATAATGACATATTTTATTCATTCTAGAGTATATATCATGTTTCTATGTTATTTATATTGTTTATTATGTCATAGCAACTATGAATGCTCTCTGCCAATCCCTAGGTACCTTACCCTCTTCCCAAAATTTATTAAATAAAAACACTAACCACTCCAAAACTATATCCTCACCTGCTTTTAACATTTCTATCTTTATCCTATCAATCCCAGCTGCTTTACCCACTTTCATTCTACTCACTGTCCCATGCATTTCCCCCCCCACTCACAACTGGTTCTTCCTCACTCCTATAAGATGTTATTCCTCCTTGCCCTATACACAAAATCACAGCTTCCCTAACTCATCAACATTGAACAATTCCTCAAAATATTCCCTCCATCTTCCTGATACCTCTAACTCTCCTCTCCTATTTTTAACTAACAAATAAATTCTTTCCCTAGGCTTTCTCAACTTATTAATCTTACTCCAA